CGGTGGAGAATAGCCTCGGTCTGATTCCTTGATCAGTAGCCTCCAGAATAGAAAGAAAATGGCATTTCGGAAAAATCACCCGAAATCTGTGATGGTACCCCTTTGGAATCTGCCAAAAAATTACCCGGAATAAATCCGCCCAAATCGGTGCTTAATGGACTCAATCATCGTTGAAGAATAGCCTCAAGCTGAATCCGTGATCTGTAGCCTTCAATATCCAAAGAAAATTGCCTTTCGTCGACCAAAAATTACGAAAAATGCCATTCGAAAATAAATTGGCCTAAATCGGTGGTGGTTAATGGACTTATCATCCATGGAGAATAGGATCAATAGACTTCATTATCAGTGGAGAAAGGCCTCGGTATGATTCCTTGATCAGTAGCCTCCAGAATAGAAAGAAAATGGCATTTCGAAAAAATCACCTGAAATCTGTGATGGTACCCCCTTTGGAATCTGCCAAAAATTTACCCGGAATAAATCCGCCCAAATCGGTGCTTAGTGGACTCAATCATCGTTGAAAAATAGCCTCAGGCTGAATCCGTGATCTGTAGCCTTCAATAACCAAAGAAAATTGCCTTTCGTAGACCAAAAAATTATGAAAAATGCCATCCGAAAATAAGTTCGCCCAAATCAGTGGTTAATCGACTTATCATTCATGGAGAATAGGATCAGTAGACTTCATTATCGGTGGAGAATAGCCTCGGTCGGATTCCTTGATCAGTAGCCTCCAGAATAGAAAGAAAATGGCATTTCGGAAAAATCACCCAAAATCTGTGATGGTACCCCTTTGGAATCTGCCAAAAATTTACCCGGAATAAATCTGCCCAAATCTGTGCGTAATGGACTCAATCATTGTTGAAGAATAGCCTTAGGCTGAATCCATGATCTGTAGCCTTCAATATCCAAAGAAAATCGCCTTTCGTCGACTAAAAAATTACGAATAATGTCATCCGAAAATAAATTGGCCTAAATCGGTGGTTAGTGGACTTATCATCCTTGGAGAATAGGATCAATAGACTTCATTATCGGTGGAGAATAGCCTCGGCCTGATTCCGTGATCAGTAACCTCCAGAATAGAAAGAAAATGGCATTACGGAAAAATCGCCCGAAATCTGTGATGGTACCCCTTTGTAATCAGCCAAAAATTGACCCGGAATAAATCCGCCCAAATCGATGTTTAATGTACTCAATCATCGTGGAAGAATAGCCTCAAGCTGAATCCGTGAAATGTTGACTTCAATATCCAAAGAAAATGGACTTTCGTCGCCCAAAAAATTATGAAAATGCCTACCAAAAATAAATTGGCTCAAATCAGAGCGTTATGGACTTATCATCCGTGGAGAATAGGATGAATAGACTTCATTATTGGTGGAGATTGGCCTCGGCTTGATTCCTTGATCAGTAGCCTCGAGAATAGAAAGAAAATGGCATTTCGGAAAAATCGCCCGAAATCTGTGATGGTACCCCCTTTGGAATCTGCCAAAAATTGACCCGGAATAAATCCGCCCAAATCGGTGCTTAATGGACTCAATCATCATTGAAGAATAGCCTCAGGCTGAATCCGTGATCTGTAGCCTTCAATATCCAAAGAAAATGGCCTTTCGTCGCCCAAAAAATTACGAAAATGCCATCCGAAAATAAGTTGGCCCGAATCGGTGGTTAATCGACTTATCATTCATGGAGAATAGGATCAATAGACTTCATTATCGGTCGAGAATAGCCTCGGTCTGATTCCTTGATCAGTAGCCTCCAGAATAGAAAGAAAATGGCATTTCGGAAAAATTGCCTGAAATCTGTGATGGTACCCCTTTGGAATCTGCCAACATTTTACCCGGAATAAATCCGCCCAAATCGGTGCTTAATGGGCTCAATCATCGTTGAAGAATAGCCTCAGGCTGAATCCGTGATCTGTAGCCTTCAATATGCAAAGGAAATTGCCTTTCGTCGACCAGAAAAATACGAAAAATGCCACTAGAAAATAAATCGGTGCTTTATGTACTATCATCCGTGGAGAATAAGACCAATAGACTTCATTATCGGTAGGGAATAGCCTAGGCCTGATTCCATGATCTGTAGCCTCCAGAATCGGAAGAAAATGGCAATTCAAAAAATCTCCCGAAATCTGTGATAGTAGCCCTTTGGAATCTTCCAAAAATTGTCCTGGAATAAAACCGCCCAAATCGATGCTTAATGGACTCAATCATCGTTGAAGGATAGCCTCAGGCCGAATCCGTGATCTGTAGCCTTCAATATCCAAAGAAAATGGCCTTTCGTCACCCAAAAATTACGAAAATGTCATCAGAAAATAAATTGGCCCAAATCGGTGCTTAATGGACTTATCATCCGTGGAGAATAAGACCAATAGACTTCATTATCGGTAGAGAATAGCCTCGGCTTGATTCTGTGATCTGTAGCCTCAAGAATTGAAAGTAATGGCATTTCGGAAAAATCGTACGAAATCTGTGATAGTACCCTTTCGGAATCTGGTAAAAATTGACCCGGAATAAATCCGCCCAAATCGGTGCTTAATGGAACTAATCATCGTTGAAGAATAGCCTCGGCCTGATTTCGTGATATATAGCCTTCAATATCCATAGAAAATGGCCATTGATCGCCCAAAAAATTACGAAAATGCCATCCGAAAATAAATTGGCCCAAATCGGTGCTTAATGGACTTATCATCACTGGAGAATAGGACTAGTAGACTTAATTATCGACGGAGAATAGCCTCGGTTTGATTCTGTGATTTGTAGCCTCCAGAATCGAAAGCAATTTCAGAAAAATCGCCCGAAATCTGTGATGGTACCCCTTTGGAATCTGCAAAAAATTGACCCGGAATAAATCCGCCCAAATCAGTGCTTAATGGACTCAATCATCGTTGAAGAATAGACTCACGCCGAATCCGTGATCTGTAGCCTTCAATATCCAAAGAAAATGGCCTTTCGTCGCCCAAAAAATTACCAAAATGTCATCCGAAAATAAATTGGCCCAAATTTGTGCTTAATGGACTTATCATCCGTGGAGAATAGGACTAGTAGACTTCATTATCGGCGGAGAACAGCCTCGGCTTGATTCCGTGATCTGTAGCCTCCAGAATTGAAAGCAAATGACATTTCGGAAAAATCGTCCTAAATCTTTGATGGTACCCCTTTGGAATCTGCCAAAAATTGATCAGGAATAAATCCGCCCAAATTGGTGCTTAATGGACTCAATCATCATTGAAGAATAGCCTCAGCCTGAATGGGTGAGCTGTAGCCTTCAATTTCCAAAGAAAATGGCCTTTTGTCAACCAAAAGATTGCGAAAATGTCATTCGAAAATAAATTGGCCCAAATCGATGCTTAATCGACTTATCATCCGTGGAGAATAGGACCAATAGACTTCATTATCGGTGGAGAATAGCCTCGGCCTGATTCTGTGATCTGTAGCCTCCAGAATCGAAAGAAAATGGCATTTCGGAAAATCGCCCGAAATCTGTGATGGTACCCCTTTGGAATCTGCCAAAAATTGATCCGGAATAATTCCGCCCAAATCGGTGCTTAATGGACCCAATCATCGTTAAAGAATAGCCTCAGGCCGAATCCGTGATCTGTAGCCTTCAATATGCAAAGAAAATGTTCTTTCGTCACTCAAAAAATTAAGAAAATGCCATCCGAAAAAAAATTGGCTCAAATTGGTGCTTAATGGACTTATCATCCGTGGAGAATAGGATCAATAGACTTCATTATCGGTGGAGAATAGCCTCGGCGTGATTCCGTGATAAAGTAGCCTCCAGAATCGAAAGAAAATGACATTTCAAAAAAATCACCCGAAATCTGTGATGGTACCCCTTTAGCAATCGGTGGCTGTATTGCATGAAACATCGGCCGGATGTATGCATTGAACTATTCAAAACTCGTCTCGTTGCCAAGGGATTTCACTAGAGGCCAGGAGTTGACTTCCACGAGACCTTTAGTCCCGTTCTCAAGCCTGTAACAGTCCGCACAGTATTCACCATTGCCCTCTCTCATAACTGGTTGATCCATCAATTCGATGTCAACAACGCATTCCTTCGGGGTCCACTTCAGGAAGAGGTTTACATTGCTCAATCTCTTGGATTTCGGGATCCCCAGTTCCCTAATCATGTGTGTCGACTGCGCCAAGCTATCTGAGGTCCGCTGGGTTTGCAACATTCTCTCTGAGCTGCACCAACCACTTCCGCATGCCCCAGTTCTCTTCTCTGACAACATGGGGGCGGTCAACTTCAGCTCCAACCCCGTGTTTCACTCGCGCATGAAGCATCTTGCGTTGGATTACCACTTCGCATGTCCGCTTGTCCAAGGCGAGCAACTCATCGTCCGTCATGTGCCTACAGCTTCTCAGCTTGCGGATGTTTTTTACTAAACCCCTTCCCTCCACCCGCTTATGCCTTCTCTGCTCCAAGATTGGGCTTGCGAACGCCGCCTCCATCTTGGGGGGCGTATTAAGGATAAGTCTTTATCCTAGTTGTAGTAGGATTGTAATTAAACTTTGTTCTAGTAGGATTGTAATTAGTCTTTCCTTTCCTTGTACGTATTGTATTGATGTAACATTGGCTATAAATAACCCTCTTCTATGTTAATACAACACAACATTCATAATCCTTACACTTTCTTGTGATGAGCCAAAATAACAACAGAAAAGGATGTGTCTATCTTCCTTGATCCTCTTCTGGCTTCCCTAATCTTTTTGCATTCCCACTCATTTACCAAGCACAATTAAATCTCTTTTTTGAGAGTTGTGTGGTGTATGCATTGTACAGTTTTGTGCTTTGTCGTAAATTATGTGTCAACTTTTATATTATCGCCGGAAAATGACCGATGATCGTGAATTTCAATGCAGTTTTGTGCTTTGTCGTAAATTATGTGTCAACTTTTATATTATCGCCGGAAAATGACCGATGACCGTGAATTTCCTCTTTCTCTCATGGTCCTAGTGTGTTGCTGTGGTTTTTGAATTATGTGGTTAAGAGAGACAAGGAGCTACGAAGGAGTGGTTGGTTATTTATTGATCTCCCAAGTAACCATATAATGCACAACCAAACAAGTGAAGCATATGTGGACCAAACTAGAGATCAATCAGTATCTCATATCATACTGTTGCATTGTTTACGCCTCCCTACTTCCACGAGATAACAAACAATTGACCACATCCTAATCACCATGCACCTCAATTGATAAATATGATTAAAATTCATGGGTTGGGCTTTCGGTGGTCCACAAGCGGGTTGGTAGGCTCGCAAGAGATGGCAAGCGAACTGGCCCATTGGGCTTTTGAGCATTGTAATCTCAAGTCGGTCCGACGATAGCTTACCGCCGTTAACCGGTGGGGAAAAAAACTAACTGCCGCCATCGATCGCCGTCCGATATCCTCCCGCCTCCTTTCACCCATTTCCGCACTGACGATCACCACCACGGAACCACCGCCCTCCCGACTCGCCGGACCACTGCCACTCCGCCTTCACGCGTACGTTCCCTCACACGACGGGCGCCAATTAGCCACAATCATCCTAAGTTTCCCAAATCTCGACGATTTAGTTCCCGAATCCACGTTTTGCCTGTCGAACACACAGAACAATGAAAATTTGAGGACACTTCTCGTCACCAAGATCTACAGCTTCATCGATTCAATTGGATCGCGGAGTTCAATGAATCCACCCCTAAAAAACTATCCAAGTGGAGGATCTAATGCGTTAAAGTTCGGATTTTTTGGGTACCTTTTGGAATCCGACGATTTCCTCTGCAATCTAAGCCTCTCGTCCAGTCTCTCCTTGGCTTCTCTGGCTACTCCTCCCAGCTTCTCATCCTCTTTGGTCTCAATCTGCACGCTTCTCTGCTATACAAAAAAGAAACGTGTTTCTGTCAAAAATTGAAGTCCAGAAAAGGGAAAGTGAAACCTCTGTTTCATTAAAAAACAGGGGAATGGTTTAAATCATGAACAGATTTAGATGGATTCGCAATTTACCGATGAAGTGAAAGAAGAGTAAGAGGCTTCGTAGTTGGTGGCGTACAAACCGAGCGAGGACCTCCGAGATCCGCCGGGAGAATCGCCGCCGGTTGGGCGGAGCCGTCTTCTCCGAGCGCATTCCACGCCGGGCAACATTCCCGCCATGATTGATCACTACCCAGAAGAAGGAACACAGAAAGAGAGGAATTTCGGAAGGGAGTAGATTGAATCAGGTACTAAACAGGTGAAGCATTAACTACCCATTATAGGTAGAGGAGAAACTTGAAATGGGTTCCTCCAAAGTTTTACTTTTTTTTAATGGGGAAAGATGGAAGAAAGATCAAAAGATGATCTTTGTTCTGGAATTATTTGGACTTTTTCGCCATGTGCAGCTTCCTTCCAGGCAATGGTTTGGCCGCCTAGAGGAAGTTTCGTTGCCATCTCTAACAGAGAGCGAGAGAAAAATATAAAATCATGTAAGTTGTCACTAATCGAGTCAAAGTAACTCAACTCATTTTTTAGATTACAATTTACAAGACAAGTGGGGTTGTTTTAGTTCAGAATTCAACCGAATTAGCCTACAATTTGATAAATAAAAAATTGAAAGAAAAAATAGATCTCCAAACTAATCTTCAAATTTTGAGATTGAGAATCTCATCATAACAGAAATTACAATTTTATTTTTAGTATCCAAAAGAATTTGTACTTTATATTTTACAAAATTCATATAATTGATACAAAAACAAAAGTATTTTATGTTGGTTCTTCGATTTAATCCGAACATAATAGGACAAATTCTTCTTGCTAAATGCACGCCTAACTAGCTAATAAGAACTTCTAAGTTCCATCCTACATATAGGCCCACTGGAGACAACGGTGACGGGCTAACACGAACTTCCATCCCACATACAGGCCCACTAGAGACATATGGGCCCAGAACCACGACCGCTACCTTCTCTACGACATCGTTTTAATCATCACACATGATCAAATCACTAACCGCCACAACGGCTAGTTCCTCTTGAAGTGACCGTTCCTAATCCCCTCGCAAATTCAAACTTCCTGAAGTGCGCCTCAACCCAACTCCAACAAACGATCCCCGCCTCCCCGGTCATTTCCATCCTCCAAGAGCTCAACACGATAAGAACTTAGCCAGTTAGCAGCTCTGGTGATCCCAATCAGATCTTCTTCTTCATCGTCGTCATAAAAAATGGCCTATAACTACACGCCAGCTTACTACTCCACGCTCCACGACTCCATAACTTCCCTCTGCAAGACCATCCTCCCTTTCTCCTTCAGGAAGCGCGGCCGGCTCGCCGCGGCGGAGCACCGAATCAACAAGATCCAGTCCGAAAACCTCAAATGGCAGCAGGACTCGTTCCACCAGATCCTCAATCTGACGGGACTCCATAAAGCAGGGATCTTGGAGCAGCACGAGGTCTGGGCGTTCCGATCCCACTTGCTCGAGACGCTCATCGCTTCTCCGACGGAGCACGAGCACGCCGCCGTCCTGCGGGACAAATTGCTCTTCCTCCAGGTAACAAGAAAGTTAGAGTCTTTACTATCAAATCGGGGATTTTCCCCTTTTTACAGAACGAAACGTAAAGTGGAGAGATTCAATTCAACTGGTTCGTTTTTTAGGAGTTGCTGTATGCGAAATGTATAACGGAGGAAGAGTACCATTCGTCGAAGGGGCCATTGATGCAGATAATGGCGGTCCAAGGTGCAGAAATCGAGCCGAGGGATGTGGTCGTAGGCGGGAAACAGAGCGAAGTGGATGGAAACAGAGATGAAGAATGGTCAGTGATTGATTTGAGAGACGAGAAACGTGAGTCTACTCCGCAATCCAAGCGAAAATCAAAGGAGCAGAGCTCACCTGAGTTGAAGCAGATCAAAGGGGCGGGTTCTTCTCTGTTCGGATTTAACAAGCAGAGTAATAGGAGGCAGAGCATATTCGAGATCGAGGCTAAACGGCCGTCCTGTGGACAACATAATAACAACAGCGGAGAAATGTACGAGAGCCCAATTGTGAATGGTGGTAACTCAGTGAAGGGGAGCGAAACAAAGTCGATTCTGATGCAAGCAAGCGGAAAGACAGCTGCATCTCCGAGGAAGGAGAATGGGAGTGGCGAGAAGGTGAAGAGGAAGCCATTCAGGACTCTGTTTGATAAAGAGCAGAGTAGCGAGAAATCTGCGAAGAAGAAGCAATGGTGGAAGAGGAATGATTCGGAGGACGAGACAGCTCCTCTGCCACTGAACATTGGAAGAGCAGGAGATTGTGAAGATGACTATGGAAACCTTGTTACAAGCCCGATCGGAGAAGGCCCTGATACGAAACAGATCAAAAGGAAGCTTCACTCCGATGGAACCCCTTCGGATTTCTTCATTGACAAAGTTTTAGGGAATAACATAAAGAAAGAGCTGTTGAGGATTCAAACTGAGCTCTCCACCACCAATCCAACTCTGAAACTCTCGTAAGCCTTTCGTTTTCATATAGGTTAGTGTTGAATATACAGAGCATATTTTAAAGGTGTTTGCGATCAATTTTGTTAGGGATGACCAAATGGAAACAATCTCCACTAAGCTTCCTGTTGACAAAGCTGACCTCGAGAACTTATTTCCCAAGTAAGTCTACAAATGAACCCTTCGGATGAAAATGATTCCAGTTTCTATGTACCACACTGATTTTGACTGATATTGGAATTGAACGAAGGTCATGGTGCGACCAATATGGCGATGTGGTGAAGAAAGAGTTCAAAGATCATGTGGGTGAGATGGAGAATATGAGAAATGCTACCAGGGAAAAGCATCTGAATAACTCAAAGAGGTGGACAACATTCAGTGATGATGATGATCATGTGGGTGAGATTGAGAACATGAAGAATGTTACCAGGGAAAAGAATCTGAACAACTCGAAGAGATGGACGACATTCGATGAGGACGATGATGAGAATATCCACCCGAATCTTTTCAGTAGTCTCACCTATAGCAACAACATCAACAAGAGCAATAACCCGTTCCTTCAAGATTCTAGCATCACAGGGAAGAGCCATCATGGGATTGAGAAGCCACAATCGTTATCAACTTCCTTCCAGAATCCGTTCTGGAACGGCTCTTCTCTGTTTCATTAGCAACCAGAGTAGTTTGTTTATGTTATTTGCAGTGTATAAAACTGCCAAAAAGAAGAACCATGTTCTTCTATAATCTGTTTGTCGATGTAGATTCCGGTTCTTTCGGTATCATAGTAGATGAGTTTCAAATGTATACAGAGATATCTGGTATATGAAAAGGCGATTCGATTTTTACCCAGGAATGTACAAAATGTTGGATGAAATGAACTTCCTTTCGCATGAGAGGGATATTTACATTGTGCAGCACATATAATTCTATGATCAGAGTGAAGGAATCTCCGAGGTGGAGACAGAATCGTTTTCACCCTGGCGAACATCTCCGCGACAGAGTGGGCAGACCCTAAAAAAAGCAAAAGCAAGGAAGAGCTCAGGGCAGAGATCATTGCAAACTAAAGTAAACAGCGGGGGAGCAAGCTTTTTTGTAATACCCGTGGATCTCTTTGAGCCATTTATCAACACATGACATGTGATACTCATGATGGCAGGGAAGAACTCTTATTTTATCCCCTTCTTCATAGTCCGACAGACAGATGTAGCACCTGTCAACCGATACACCATCATAAGTTTTAGCTAAGGTTCCATGAAAACTTGACACCATAAGAACATTAGGGAAGGAACGTACTGCTCGGCTTCTTCACCATCGTCGATCTTGTCCTCCTTTTTGTGATTCTTAAGAGGGAAAGAGTCGACCACAGATTCTGGAGCTGGGAGTGAGACCATGGACATAGAAAGTGAAGAAGGCTGGCGATGGATTTCATCCAAAACCTGAAAGAATAAGTATTGTTAAAATATAGCAACAAAGAGTCCAAGCACTATCAAGGAATCAAAGATAAGCCGCACCTCAAACAGTGCTTCAGCAAGCATGACTATCCGTGATATATTTGCACGAGTACTCGACTCCCTTCCTGACAAGAGTGTTTCACATGAACAAGTACCCTCGGGGTGAAGTCCAGAAGGACAGAATGTTGTTCGCCGTTCGTCATCATCAAGGCTGCCAACAAGTCTCTCCCAAATCTTATGATGAAAGGTAAACGCAGAAGTTAGCCATAAAGATGCATGACAAACTATCTAATCGTTCTAAGTTTCTAACCAAATATTGAATGAAGTTTGACGCACAACTAAAGGTCAAATAAGTAAGAGAGTCACCTCTGATCTAGATTGGCGTCTCCGGTCAGTCCAGCTATGAATCCTGCTGCCAAGGTACTCAGAATCGCTACTAGTAACACCATCGTCGAGAAAGTTGCCACTGAAATCAAGGAGCCATCTATCGTGAGATTGTAAATCATCAGGACTGTCATCTGTAGAGAGCAAAATGGTTGGAGAATCCATAGGCCTCCAGGAACTACGCCTCGAAAATGCATCCCAGAATAGTCGTCTACTGTTTCTTCTGGTCTCATGATAACTAGTCCTATCAGCAGTTCCTCTAGAGAAGATTCTGGAAGAGATGCTCACAACATCTACATGAAGAACATCACCATCATCCTGGGCCTGTTCCCTTATCGGAAGTCCTAAATCCTCAGTATTCGTTTCTTGCACAGAAACAGAATCAGAATTGTGCAGAGGCCAAGTTGTCATTTCATCCATGTGATTCTCGACGGAAGCCCTACCAAAACTCGATGTGTGCAGTAGACCTTGAGATGAACTCTCTGCATGCATATACCTACTATTCTCTGGATTGTCAATACCATTGACTGCATGTTTGTTAGCCAATGTATTTACAGAGAGTGGATCTGAAGATTGTTGTTGTTCTCTAAATGAAGTACTAGCTTCATGACCACTATACCTATTCCTAAAAGAGTCGTCGTAGCTATATTCATCACATACCTGGGAAGAGACTAACTCCAAAGTTTCGGAGAAACGTCTCTCTTGATTACTTGTTCCTGAGTTTCTCAAACCACCTTCACCGGTAATTCTCTTGCTGGCTGTAATACTACTGCCTGTTGATGAATGACCAATACCACTACCAGAATTGGCAGAAACTGTTTCTGAACCAATTATGGCAGCCGATCCCAGTATAGGGCTTTGGATTTTGCTTGCTCCTGTGTCATCATTTTCCACAGAGCTCTTCAACATTTCATAGGGACGACCTTCCACCTACACAAAATCAAGAGGGAGGGTCGTTCAGAAGATTCATCAAACAAAATGAATCCACATAGATCAAACAGGCTCATAACATATAAACAAAAGCGGCACACCCATAAGAAGCACTCGAGTTAACACCACATATATACATGTCAATCAATTTGGGAACTATCCACATCTCGTGATTCAGAGTCTTCGATAGCTCAAACGGAAGAAACTAGATAAATAAAAAGGTCTCAGTGGCAAATGTGTGCCGCCTGCTGAACGACAGCAACAATCATCCATGTTCTTCCAAGATACTACTGAACTACGCATTTGTCCATCATTCTACCACTTGTTCTGTTTTCGGTAGCAGACTTATCTCCTCTAAATGGATCATCAAGAGCTGACCACCTTGTTATACACGGTCGGAGACTCCAACATGGCAAGCTATAGTACCACCATTAGACAAAATCAAAGATATCGATTGGCATATTCATTCCCTTAATCACTCCGCTAAAACTTGATGGAATCAAGCTGTTATCCTAGATGATCAAGGTTGAGCACACAAAGAGCAACCTATAAACAATCCAAGAATCGCCCACCTAATCAAACCCCCCACACAAATCACAAAAATCACCAACAAACCCACTAAAATTTGGTCTTCAAGAAAGCCATCCAGAAGTCAACAATGTCTGTTCCCGATCAGAAATGACAACCGCCCCACGATCAAAAACCCCAACTTTATTCAACAAGCAGCAATTCACAACAACAAAGGGGAGAAATTTCGCCCTGTCGCTCTCACCTCAGCTGCAGCGCGGGAAGAAGAAGAAGAGGAGCCACCGCAGATGATTGATGACAGAATCCTTGAAGGTGAACGGTTGACAGGGGGGCTGCTGGGTCGGGACTCAGATGGGCGCGACCGCGGACGACTGCTGCCAGAACCCATTCCGGTCGCCGGACCACCGTGGTCTATAGAGAGCTCTGGAAAAAAAAGTGTGAGGGAGCCGATGCTGCTACGTCTCTGGTTTCAAATTCGGCTCCAGAAATGGGAATTCTTCAATTATTAAGAGAGAGATGATGAAATGGAGGGAGAGAGACGGAGAGGGATTTGTCGGGAATGGGGTTAAAAGGGAAAGAAGGGGAAATATTCGGTGCCACATGCTGTCGAGCTATAATCTTCTTTCTTTCGTAATCCATTGCCATTTTCTTTCTTCGCCATTTCTTTGTTTGTTTGTTTGTTTCTTGGTGTATAGTGTAGGGTTAGGGAAAAGGGAAGGAAGGGAAGGGAAGGGAAGGAAAGGAGGAGATGGTCTGCATAATCCAATGGGCTTTGGTCCTACCGAAATTGGGCTTGGTCTGATCTATTGTCCGACCTTTGTAATACCGCCGACCAGCCTAGGAAGGCCCAGTTTTACAGCCCGAAGAATAGGAGAGTCGGGTCCAGGTATATATTAGCACAAACTAGGGTTTAAGATGGGAGCCATCGTTCTTCGCCTCTCTCCGCCTTCATTTTGCCGCTATCCCACCCTTTGCTGCTAGCTCTACGGAGAAACAAGCTCTCGATCAATCATGGCGGAGCAGGTTTTGTTCTCGTTCCTCTTGTTTTCCATTTTGGTAAAATGAGCTCTGAAATCGACCTCTTACCGAAAAGGGTTTTGGTTTTTTTCCTGTGTTATTTCAGACTGAGAAGGCATTTTTGAAGCAACCAAAGGTTTTCCTTAGGTGAGATTTCTCAATGAGCTAGGATCTTCTCTGCCCTGTTGATTGATTAGTTTTGCTCAAAGCCAATGTCTTTCGTGCTGACTATTTGATTCGTTGCTCTGTCGCTCAGCTCGAAGAAAACTGGCAAGGGAAAGAGGCCTGGAAAGGGAGGAAACCGCTTCTGGAAGAGCATTGGGTTGGGCTTCAAGACTCCCAGAGAAGCCATCGAAGGTATTTTGGTCTTGATATATTTTTTATGGCGCTTCAGTTTGCGCCTTTGGTTCTCTGATTCCCTTGGATAAACTTGTGCGAGCTGATGATTGATAATGGGCATTGATGGTCGTGTTAGATTAGATGCAGTCATTGTGTTGAAATATTGCATATAGGGGAATTCATAAGTGATTGAAGTGGCTATATTGGATGGATTAAGGTCACTTGATTATGCTAGGTCGTTTCAATTAATTTCTGAGTGTTGATCCAGCATGGCTGTGTAAATAACTTAGAGGTTCAGTACATTGAAATTGTTGCATAGTAGTTTTGAGAAAACTTAAACAAGATCTTGTGCTAAATCTTCTCCGGAGGAGTTAGATTGTCCTCCTTTTTACTCTGCTCGAGGGCGACGGACTTATGTAGTACTCCTGCTTACACTGCTCTACCTCTAGCAGAGCTACTTGTTCCCCACTCGTGATGCCTGTTCAATGTGAGCTTGCAAATGTGAAGTTCATGTTCACTTTCTGTTTTCCATCTAGATGATGATCAATTGAAGCGATCTGGCTTTCAGAGTTTCTAAGTATCTTCTTTAGTTTCTGGGAGAGTTTGTTTCTGTGAGTATTTGGCCAGCCCAAGACAGTAGGGTATTTTTCTTGCAGCATTTGTTTATGTTCCTTTCTGCATCTGACTACAGATAGATTCATTGAGAATCTCATGTGGTGCTTGAATATAAGATGATTCCCTGCCTCATTAGTTATGTTGAATCTGGTCTTCTTGCTAATTTGATCTGGTCTTTCAGGAACATACATTGACAAGAAATGCCCCTTCACTGGCACTGTTTCCATCAGGGGTCGTATCATTGCTGGAACATGCCACAGTGCCAAGATGATGAGAACAATCGTTGTTCGTCGTAACTATCTTCACTATGTGAAGAAATACCAGAGGTACAAACTTGATGCATCATTTTTCTGTATGCATTGTTTTATACCCTTTCAGTCTGAACTACTAAGGAATAATGATTCGCCATTCTTCTATAGGTATGAGAAGAGACACTCTAACATCCCGGCTCATGTCTCACCATGCTTCCGTGTGAAGGAAGGAGATCATGTTACCATTGGGCAGTGCAGGTAACTACACCTTTTTATTAAACCGTTGCCAATCATTAAGTGCTCTTAACTTTGCCTTTTCTTAGACGTTGACTGAAATCTTCTCCTTCATTGCTGTAGGCCTCTTTCGAAGACCGTTAGATTCAATGTGTTGAAAGTTATTCCAGCTGGATCTTCTGGCGGCGGAAAGAAGGCCTTCACTGGGATGTGAGATGTAACGCACCCAGTTTTCTTGTGCGTTAGGCTGATCGATGAACCTTTGTTAGTTCGTTATGTAAGCTACTGGTGAAATTGAACAGTCTGGTTTTGGCAATCACTTGGAACAATTAGAACCCTTTCTTGTCTCTCAACACTTTGATTATATGTGGATTGTTGCAAACACGATAGCTATTTTGTTTTGGATGCTCATTAACATTGTATGTGGTCTCCTAACATTATGCAATCCTCATCGGATCATATCGGGAAGGATCGACATGTGGTTTCAAGTCCCTTTTTGGGTATCTTGATTTCATGAATCCGAAGGTGGATGAAAACATGAGCGATCCAACCGGGTTGAACATGTTTTCTATTCGATTTTAGCTGTTGATTCCGGTGTCTAATTGGACTGGATTGATTAATCATGAAAGGAACCTTTGATTTTTCCATTGCCACATTGATTGTCTATTCGAATGATGGAGCTGCATATACGTACGGCAATTTTGATGCATGTGATTAACATGGTGAAGATTGTTGGAGGTTGTGAACTTCCTCTCAGTGTGGAAGAAAGACTTCATGTTCATGTTTTAGAGGAAGAGTACTGTCGGCACCAGGCAGTTGTGTGTTGACTTTCATATATGTTGATACAGTAAGTTTGGCTAGAAGTTAGGCAAAGGGAAAGGAGTAATAAAGGAAATGATCATGTGCCTAGCCCAAATAGGCAACGGTTCACTGATTTGTTGTTATTGTTAGGAATTCATAGTGAATTCTGAATTGGATGAGAAAATGGAGGAACAAGAGTGAATTCATGTGGAGAAGTTAGTGGCCATGTTCATCCTTGGGTGTAATGGCCTAAACAACGGTTGGCATGTGTTGTGTGAGAGAGAGATTTTTTTCTAGTATACTAGATATGGTGGTTGAATCTTGGCCTAACAATCTGGAAGAAGTAGGTATAATTAAAAAAATTCTTGTTGGCGGTGGTATTGAAAAAAAATTCTAAATAACAATTTATTATGGTAATTATATATCTGTAAAGGAGTCATCGTGTTAGTTGTATTCGTGGGATTTTTCATAATCTTCTAAAAATAGCTGAGATGAATACAAAAGATTTTCTAACATACTTCTTCAAGCATTATTCAAAGGGGGATGTGAGCAGCCCACTTGACCGGTCTCCTCATTCCCCAACGAGATCCAAATCTCAATCTTAATTTTGTAAATCTGGTCACCTTCTTCAACCACAAATCATACGCTGCTAGAGAGTAGAATGATCACAAGTTCATATGACGTTATGTTAATGTTTGTGATGTTATGGTGAAAGTTGGTTGCTCTGACTTTATGTCTTTGTAATTTACTTGTATTTAGGGGGGATCAAAATTATGCATGTGTGTTGGAATAACGAATTTTGAGTTTTTTTTTTAATATTATTCTTTTACTGGTTCGATCTTTGGGGTGGTAAACCAGATAAACGGTTCATTTTTTGCTCAATTTGGTCTGTCCAATTCGGATAGTACTGAACAAGAGTGTACAAACATGATATGATCTATATCTTATGGCAATTGTTATGATTTGTGGTATGCATTCCAGCCTCTCAATATGAACCGTCAATCGTATACATATGATCCGATTTGAATCCAACCACACGATTTCACAGTACTCAGTCCTCCTCAAAGTCGGAATGCATCTATCTAATTGACAAAATTTCCACCACCAACACTATGTAGTGCCCATCTAGGAAAATATATTTTGTGGGAGAAATGGTGCTATGTTGGTCGAATCACTTGTGGCTTGTGCTTCTATACATTTCGTGGAAAGCAAAAAGGGGGGAAAAGACCAAACCTATTTGTCATTGTCTAGCATATCAAAGTCTTCAATTCGATTATATATCTTTCATTTTCGCAATTGCCCCAAAAACTTCAATTTCATATCTTTTTTGTATTTTTTTAGGATTGATTACTTAGCTATGGGAAACTTGCAATCCACGTTGTTTGGATGTAGTTCATGGTTAACAAAAAAGCAATCAATGGAGTTGATGATGATGCTATATAAGAATGAATCCTAGATCCATATGCTCCACTAGAAAGAATATACAATTGTTCACACTTGAAAGGATATGATAATAAAGGGAAAAGGTAATAAACATGTACAATAGTCTACTATATCATTTAAAAAGTAGATTCAAAGTCGTTTTCGTTACAAATCGAGTGAACACGATTTTAGTAAGTCGGGTTTCGTGAGGGAGGGGGGTGGTTTACTACTTCTATTTATATATTTGAGTGAGTCGAATATGGTAAGGATATTGGATTGGAAAACCCTACTGCATCGAGGTTTTGTCACTACATTCTTGTAACCGATTGATTTATGAGTACTAAACATATCCCTGATAACAATCGTATCATATATACTTAACACATAATTTTTTTCCGCTCGAGTCAAGTTATTTCGGTCAATCTCTCTTTCTTAAAGCTTCAAACTATGATGCAACTTTCCATTAGTAATGAAAAAGTGGGAGCAAAATTAAATTAAACGAGGGAATTGGGTACACGTTGTCATTCAATTACTCCTTTGACAAAAAAAAAAAAAAATTTGGAGGGTGATGGAGAAAAATAATTGAAACTCTTATTGGTTGCAATCAGCCAACAAACTTTTGATGTCTCAGTGAAATGGCCTTGTCTTTCTTTTGTGTAGCTTTTTTCTCCATTTAATTTAAAGGCATCTATGAAGTGTGAAAGATAATTAATTGTAAATTAACCCACCACGAGTTGGTGAGATAGTCAAATGTGCAAGTTCAAATTTAACCATTTTTCGTGTTCCAATTTCGACAATAATCGTTTATGTATTACAATTATGAAGAACAATAACAAGATTGTTGTTGCTGTAGAAATCATTTTTAAGTATTTGTCGAGTGTTAATAAAAATTGAGTTTTGTTGTGTATTGCTATTTTTTTCGTGACAAAAATCATATTTATTCGAACCACTCGAGAAAAAACAATACACATGGGTTACTTAATTGTCAAATTGTTTGCTTAATTTAGGTTAACTTTTCTAG